TGTTGTATTGCAAGAAAATATTATAGAAATAAAAATATTTGGTAATATAAAACAAAGTAATAAAAACAAAGTAATAAAAATAGTATAAGTAATAAAAATAGTATAAGTAATAAAAATAGTATGATAAAATAAAGTAATAAAAATAGTATTTATAATGTATGCATTTATAGATTAAATATCCCACATAACATTTTTGTGCCACCCATGCGACTTCTTATGGTGTTTTAGGCAAGCAAACATCATCCGCTTCATCTTTTTCTTCTTGGTTTATTTTACATTAAAAGCTTAAAGTTTAATTTTGTATTTGTTTCGCAAAAGTGTCTGAGTTAAAATCTCGCATTTACTTAAGTGTTTGTTATTTAAAAAAATAGTAACATATGTTAAAAATAAGCAAAATGGTTTGTTAATCTCCCGTTTCTTTAAGTATTAGTTATTTATAAAAATAGCAATTGTTAAAAACAAACAAAATGAAACAAAGGTAGGATAAAAATATTCAATGCCAAAAAAACGGCTAAACACCTTCGAGAAACGGCTACCATGTATGGACCATGTCATTTAACGGTGAGCAAAACTTGGATTGGACCATGCTTGTCCGACAATGGCGGGGCAGTAATGACGCTACTGGTGGGCCAAGCACGGCAAGTTTGCTGGGTTGGTTACATTTGCCAAGTAGTGGCGACCCCACTTGTCACATTGATAAAAAATAAATCCTTCCGTTTGTCGGCGAGCGGTCTTAACTTTTTACCAAACGCCTTTCTATAGGGGTTTGCGGGTCATTTAACCATTTTAGAAGGTCTACAACAGAAAAACTCGCGTAATGCATTTAGTTTCCAAGGCTTTAGTTTGACACCCACGCATATAATTTAAACGTCATTCAAATAATTGAATAATTGTATTAATATATACAATTAAATACTTAATTAAAAAAAGCCCAACAGATCCAGGAAGTTATAATCCTTGGTGTAAAGATCCAGGAAGTTATAAGATCAGATCAGGAATTTATATTTATATTTAATTTATATTTATATCAGGAATTTATATTATATTTAAGAAAAGATCAGGAAGTTATAAAGCTTGGCGTCACTTCTATGCAAAATTATAGAAAAAATGGATAGGAATAAAAATATCAGTTATTTCACAAAAAACAACCTTTTTTTCTAGTAAACAACATCGTTTCGAATAAATCATATACGTCAAACCTGGAATCTATAGAGTTAGACAATGAAATCATTGCGAAGAAAATACTACGAAATATCGTATTTCTCGACTTTTCACGTTCATCTCACTTAGTAAACAATGCAAGGCTTATTTAAAAACTGAGCAAATATGGCATAAAAGGTCAACTATAAAAATAATAACAAATAAGATAAATGATATAATAATATTAGGTTAATTGTCTGGATTCGGAAGTTTTTAACAAATTGATGACAGCAAGTTGTTCTGTTGTTCCGGCGCATATTTCATCAACTGACAGCACGCAGATTGAAAATGGTTAGTAGAAGTTACAATACTTTAATTGATACTTTTTATAACAACTGCAAAAACTACAAGAACAAAAGTATTACTGCTTTTTACAAGAAACTTAAAATAATTTAGTGGTGCTTATTAGGTTTACATACAAATTTTGTGGCCCAAACCTGCAAGACAACGAAATGTTGAGTTTAAATAGATTCCATAAAGTACTTTTTTACAGAATGAGAAACCACAACAAACAATTTTGCTCCAAAAATGAAGTTTATTTCAGTAAATTTTTTAAATTGAAATTTCTCTTTCTGTAAAAAAAGTATGTAGCTACTTTATGGACAACCCCTTAATAAGAATTGTAATTTGTTGTTCTTGTCTAACTTATTTTCAAGATTCAACCATAATATTAATAAGTTTAATATATCCTTTTTTAAATGTGTTATATGAAATGCTTAACTATCATTAAAAACAATCATGTACCATATACATTTCAATGGCAATTGATTATGCAATTAATATATTGAGTACTTTTATTAATTATTGTAAATATATGATTTTAAACTTTAATTAGACGCTTGTAAAAAGATCATCAAGGATGCGATGAGATAGAGGAAGAAGTTGGGGAGGTGCTAACGCATACCCTTAATCAACTAGGTGGAGTTAACTAAGTCGTAGATGTTAAGTTGCTACCTGTAAAGTTTATTCTTAGATACATCTAAGTAAATTTTTACTAGTAATGGATATCATAGTGTTAATCATTTAGTCTTTATAATAAAAAAATGTTATTGTATTTATTTAGGCAAAACTTACAGCTGATGCTCAAAATAAAAATGTGTTGCAGCGACATTTCAAAGAAAATTCTGACAGTACGGGCTAGCATGTGTTATGTTATATAATCAGATAAAGAAGTTTTTTTTTTTAATTGTTAAGTAAATAAATGATTAAATGTTCTTAAATAATTAAAAAATAATTATTTAAAATTTCAAAGCATTATTCCAATGTTAGTTAACAGCATAATTAAACTTACAATTTAAAGGTGTCCTTAAATTAAATAAAAAAGTTTTTTTAATGTAGGCCAAACTGGTAATCAAAAAAAAATGTCATTCTTTGTTTATAGATAATTCATAAATAAAACTACTTTATTTATCGAATCCACAAAAAGCATTTATTTTTAATTAGGAATTGTTTTTTTTTATTATGAAGTATATTAAGATTTGGTATTTTACATGCATTTTTATTATGTTTTTGTGTTTTGACGGGCATATTTTTTATATTTTTAATGGAATTAGCTGGACTTTTTTCCAGGAATAACATGTATTTATTTTTTTATGCTGGTAATGTTGTTTTGCAAATATTTAGTTTAAAATGATGTAAAATGTTATTTATGCCCTTCGGGCGCTAACTAGTACTAATAAATCAACTTTTTTAAAGAAAGAAGTATTATTTTTCATATTTCAGCTAATTGTGTGTCTTCGGTCGAAATATATATTAAATCGAAAATGTGATTGTTAACTCGTAGGTTTTCATAAAAGCTTCATATGGTGTAATTCATCTGTAAAACATGGATAATTTGCATTTAAGTAAAAATAGGTTTTATAAATTCAAAAAAGCATTACATTAAAAATACTAGCAAACGTAGGTTTAAACAGAAAGTATGTTTAAATCTATACAATAAAATGAAAAAAAAAATGTTGGGTAAGCGTCCTTGTTCGTAATAACACGTTTAAGGTGGACGTTTAAAAGTTATTAAAGTAACATTTTCAGAAAACGTTTGCTGTTTGTTACTTGAACGCTCACAGCGAATGTTCAAGAAATGTAAAATAGAGCTCAGAAAAATATGTTTAAATAACGTTTGCAGCGTACGCTATGCAAATCAAATCAAACGTTATGATTTATTTTGAACGTTAATTTGTGACTGAGGTTGACGTTAATGAGCTATCAAAGTAACGTTTGCAGCGAACGTTAAGTCAACGTTGGTTGTTTGTTGGTTGAACATTCACAGGGAACGTTCAAGAACTGTAAATCGGAGTTCACAAAAGTTGATTCAAATAACGTTTGCAGCGCAAGTAATGCAAACGAAAAGTTGTGGTAACGAAAAAAACGAAAAAAACGAAAGTTGTGGTAACGTTCTTTTAACGTTAATTGTTAGCTCGTATAACACGCAAACTTTCCATACTTAAGCTCATACCTTTGTCAAAAAATCATCAATTTTTTTACTACAAGAAGTTTAGTAACGTTTGATCCGCTAAACTTCAAAGGCCGAATGAGCCCTCACTTTTTAAGTCAAGCTAAGCTCTTTACAATGACATCAATTAGATTTGAATAATTGAATTATAAAGAATTTGTTTGAAATGGCTTACAAAGTTATAATAATATTTATAAATAACAAAACGTAAAAATAATATATTATAATTGTATAACACTTTATATATAACAAAACGTGAAACTAGTGACTTTTGTCAATCAATAAGTGTAAAGCAAATCATATGCGCGAACCAGTAGCACTAAATGTATATATTATATAGTTTATCAAACAATTCTTAGAAATATGCTAACCAACAAAACTATATTTTAAAAATTGGAAATATTTCCACGTTCGAAACCACTAGTATTTTTTTAAAAACTAGAAGCAGTTCATCTGATGATTTAAGCTTAAATCATCAAAAAAAACTTCAGCTTAAATCATTAAAAAATGGCAGAATCGGATGAAAAAAATCTTTCGTACAATTCTTTTGTACAAGATTTGTACAAATACAAATCTTTTGTGACCAATTTGAGCAAATTTACAAATCTGGTAGAACAAAGCACACTATTTATTGACAGAAGTCTAATAATTAATGAATTTTTTAAAATTTAAAAAACGTTTTTCAATATCTTTAAAGCTGTTTCAAATCTGCCAACTTAAACGTGATAAAAACATTCTTTGAAAGTGAAAAGATAAAGCCAAAGCTTACAACAATAAACTTTTTCTAAGCCTAAAAAAATCACATGTTAGAAAAATCATTTGAAACAACATTTTGATTTCAATGAAATGTATCTTGGAGAACATTTCATGCCAATGCCTGATAAGCAAGCTACGCAAAAAAAAAAAAAGTAAAAAAGAAAAAACAAGCCAAAAATAATTTAATGAAATTCTTTATTCTTATGAAAAAGAATCGGAAATCAGGGTTGAAAATTTTTTCTGACCTTTTTATCTGACTTACACTTCATTCTTATTTTAATAAAAATGTATTTATTTTAAAACATTATTACAATTAACCAAAAATGATATGTTGAAGAAACATATTTACTAAAGACATTACTAAAGATGAGATTAAAAAGAAAATACACATTATTTAAGGTTTAGTGAACTTTACTTTTTAAAAAATATATCTTTAAAAAAGAAAAATTAGAAGTGTAATTATAATTATTATTTTTTAATCAGTTTAGGTTAATTTACTTTTTTAGTGACTAAAATAATTAGTTTAAGCATTACCTTTTATTCTTTTTGCAAAATATTATGACTTTATTCAACATTATATAGATAAACGTTTTGATGAGTTCCAAATTTCGTTACAACAAAGAGTTAAAACTGTGACATGGTACAATGGTTATATCATTTCACCAGATAAAACCATGAGAGTATAACAGCCACTAATGTTAATATAATTTTAAAAAATCGTTAGAATAAAAAATCTTTAAAAAAAGGAAAAACTAAACTGCAATAAAATCATTTTTTAGGTTGCTAAAAACGCATCATTGGTTTTTCAAAACTGTACTAAAATATAGATAATTATTTGTTATTAAAGAATTAAAACAAAGGTAATAACTGTTTTAATTCTTTAATAAAAATATAATTTTATTTTCATAAGAATCACTGTACTCGTATTCATCTTGATAGCTATTCACAATTTCCACTTTTCGCAATTTTTTCTTGTACATTGATTTTAAATGGGGAAATGTATACCAATAGGCAAAATGCACGACTAAAACATATTTAAAAAAATAAACATTATTACTCTGTTATATTTAAATATTATAAAATTGAGTTGTGTAAATATATTTGCTATGATAGAAGCTATTATATATATATATATATATATATATATATATATATATATATATATATATATATATATATATATATATATATATATATATATACATATATATATATATATACATATATAATAATGGCCGAAGTAAGCTTATCCCACCGAAACTATAACAAATTGACTTTATTATCCCAGAGCGTGAATTGAAAATCAAGGGGCAAAACAATTAGCTAATTGTTTTGCGACGTGATACCTATTTATTAAGTATTAAATAAAATAATAAAATAAATAAAATATACACCGTAAAATAAACAAAATAATAACTTAATATAATTAATAATAACATTTAGCAAAAAATCAAAATAAGTAATAATAAAACCTCAATTATAAATAGGTTTTGATTCCATATTGTCTTAAAACAATCTCATAGTTTAAACTGTATTATGAGATTGTTGTAATCAGCGGTGGCGGACAGGGTCGTATCAAAATACAAAGACGTGGGTGTGAGTAAAAAAATGCTGCTTTTGAGATAATCACATGGCTAATACATAAAATGTTTATTTTTGATTGTCTCAAAAATAGGCATTATATGTATTTTAAAAGCAAACATATTATCTTAATATTTAAATAATTGTTTATATTTTATACACTTGTTTAAAACATATAAATAAAATTAAGATAATCAAAAATATATACTCATTTTTTTTATATTTTGTGATTATCTCTAAAATATTTTGATATAATCACAAAAATCATAACTACAATGTAACAATGTGTTTGTGCTGTGATTAAGAATAGGTTTATGAAATACTTTAAACGTTTAAAATGGCTGCAAATTTAAATTGTAAAAATCGCAGATTCGATATGTAACAGAACGGTTTGTTGAAAGAGATATATCTTTAAAAGTTTTTAGAAACTTTTAAAGATATATCTTTAAAAGTTTGCTTAATAGTTACCAATAGGTATCAGTATATCAAACCATGAGAAACCTTTGATATCAAAATTACATCACATATCAATTTTTGACGAAACATCACAAACTCGAGGTTGTAGTATGTCGTCAAAAATTGATATCAATGTGATGTAATTTTGATATCAAAAGTTTCTCATGGTTCGATATCAAGTCGTAATCTCAATATGATCTCATGGTGATATCACAACCATACTTAAATTTAATCATCTATAATTATGGAGTGTATACATATATATATATAATATCATATTGAGGTAATTATTTGGAATTGCAGTATGAGAAATTTTTGTATCATACTGATATCATATGATCTGATGCGTAGATTTATATAGACAGTCTATATAAATACCCAAGTAGTATTTTAAAAGGTTTTCAAAAGAATAAAGTTATGAGAAACAATCTAACTCAGGTCCTGTAGTCTTCTCGCCTAACAAAAAGTTTGTTAGGCGAGAAAACTACAGGATCTGAGTTAGATTGTTGATAAGCATCTCAAAAGAATGCTGCTAACAAGACACGCTCAGCTTCTTCTTCGTCTTGCTTATTTTCAGCGTTTAAACCATAATATACTAAACACGCAGTTCCTCTGAGAAGAATTGAAAAGAGTAACTTCAGTTTTACATTTCTGTAATCATTTTTTTGTCGCTGTATCTAAACGGCAGCGTCGGATGTTCCATCAAACGTTTTAAACATATCTAATAATTTGACATTCGAGTTCATGTTTGGTGACCTAGTAATTTTCTTAAACGGAAATTAAACTTTTTGCAGATATGAGTGGAATGTCAGGTTAAGAAAAATAAGTTATTTGGATGTAAAAGAATTTTTATTTTGAGTAAGAAAATTACAGGCCCTAATAAAACTTGAACTAAATACAAGTAAAAAATAGTAATTTTTTTTACTTGTATTTCATTCAAATTTTATTAGGAAAAATAATTGAATGAAATACAAGTAAAAAATTTTAATAGAAATATAAAATGGAGAACTAACCTAACGTTAACAATATATTTTATAAAAATTAATAGAAATATAAAA